TAGCGTTTCTCTGTTTGGCTTTAAAAAAAAATCAGCAATTGCACATCAAGACCACTGTCAGAGATCCAGCGAGTCTTAGAAGGGAAGTTGATTTACTGTGGAAGTGTAACTTTCTTGATGCCAATATGGGACTGGCCTGCATTTAGAAGTTTCTTTTTTTCACTCTCTTCATGTAATTGTTTCTGTAGCTGGGCTTGTTGATGCCTCATATGAGTCACATTTTGCTCGAGTTCTGTTGCCTGTCTTTCATTTTGGGTTGATAATGAAGCCAGCTTCTTCGTGTCCTCCTGCTTCTTCTGTAAGACCTGAGTTCACATAGTGCATTTCAGTCGTACAGTACAAAAACTTAGAGATGCAAAAATGCATCTTAGGACAACAAGGTTACATACAACTAAAATGGTCTTGCACATCACATGAGTCAGATACCAACAAAAATACCTATATTTGCACATATATGGAATTTTGTGTGACATTTTAGTGGAAGATCAGTGATGCAAGACAGATAGTTAATAACCAATTTAAAATATTTTTTGTCTAGGTTCTTCCATAGTACCAACACAAAATATTATAAAACCACATCCATGCTATTCACTAATAAGAAAATACACTTTTTGCATAAGGATACAGTGGCACAAAAGTATCAAATATCAGCACATTAAGGAGCCAACTATCTACTATAATACTGCTGGTTCCATGGAGCTATACTGGCTTCAGTTGGTGAAATGGAGTACAGAATTAGGCTCTATACATAGAACTGCATTTCATAAACCTTAATGACAAAGAACAAAACTACCTGCACTTTCATCTTAGCTGCATCCATTTTCTTCCGGAACTCTTTTTGTAACTTGGCTTTCTCAGCAACATCTCTCAGCTCCTTGTTCTCCACCTCCTGAAGCTGTTTTTGTGTTTCAGCGAGTTCCATTTTGGCTTGCTCAGCTTCTTGCTCCAATTTAGTTATTTTCAAAGAATACTGCCTGCTTACAGACTGAGCATCATTACCTTAAACACATCATATTACAAACAGCTCAAACAATATCTGTATTTCACAGAGCACCTAACTAAACATCCACTATTTCTAAATTTCACATGAAAATCTTATCCCTAATTATATGTCTAAAGGAAGTTCCCCTACATATTACAGGTATCATGTAATTAACTGGTTAATTGCACAATTACCGAGACCAGCTACGCATGCAAAGTACTTATCTTGCCAGAAAAAAGCTCCAACCAGCTATAAAGTTAGACCTTGAATATGCGCACTAATTTTATTGCTGATAACTACTGAGCTTGAATTAGCACATGTAGCAGGGTCCTGCAACTAAGGGGATTCCCAGCCCCAGCAGCTACCAACTCTGGGTCTTGATAGCATACCTCCCAGTACTGGGACACAGTTGTGATCTCCCAGCCCCGGAGGTGTGTGGAGCTGATATAGTCTTCCAGATTTGGGGGATCCCCTTGCCCCTGGGGCTTGATTATGGCAGCTGAGATCTTCTGTCCCCAGGGGTTTCATGTATCCCCGAGGCTGGGAGGTCGCAGCAGCTGCATCTCCCAGTTGTGGAGGGGTGTGGAGCATCCCTGCAAGTAGAAGCCCCCTCAACTGAGAGGGCTCCCACTCCTGCGAGCTTGCTTCTTGCCAGTGCAGGGGGAGCCCAGGATCAGGGGGGTGGTATGTGGCATGGCAGGAGGCACGATTGTGTAGATTGTACAATAGATCCGATTGCACCTTTACCTGCCTATGTAGAGGAGCCTGGAGTTTTTATCATTAGATATATCCTTTCTGAAAACACTGACAGATTCCCAGACACTTTCCAAACAGGAATGAAGTCAGTGTTCCTTTTCTGGAGTTAAGGCAATAGACACATAGGAGTCCTAATCTGAATCCTCCTTGTGCCATCAGGAAACATTTGAGGCATGAATAGGTCTCCATTATCCCTAGCATGCTCTTTGCTTGAATGGCTTTTTTGTTTTTTCTAAAAGAACATAAGAATAAGTTGTCAGTCTGTCACTCAACTCTCCAAACAGTTGGCCAGCAGACAGCTTTTTGTCTGTTTCCTACAATTTAACCAATATACATGTTCTTATCAAGTGTTAAAATTTATGCCAGCAGAACTCTCATAGTTATTGAAGCACGCAAGCTTTCCCTCCAAGATCAGGGTGCAATTCCTAGGAAGTGTATGTGGACATCCTACATGTTCACAACATACAAATAAGATAGCAAACATAAAAAGAGCACATCCTTGACAAAACATAGTATGTACAACCCATTCATCTGCAACTACATAATGGCTATTATCAACAACATCTTTGCTCAGCAGCTATTTTCTGGTATGTGCCAAGTTAAAAATATACATTTAGGGAGAGTTTTAATTACTATGAAGTAGTCCTACACCCAAGCTCAAGAAGGGTTTTTTCTCCAAAGGGTGTGATGTGGATAAAAGTGAAGATACATTTGTGGAAAAAATAATTATTAGGAAAACATACCAACACACATAAAACATGACAATTAAATATAATTCTACATTGCTTATGTTTGCTTTATTCGTATACATTTTTAATCCAAACTTGTTCTGTGGAAGCCAGTTACCTGTTTTTACCAATTCTTTGATGAGTTCCTCTTTCATTCTGATGTTAAGTTCAAGTTCTCTCATTTTTTGCTTGGCTTCAGTGAGTCTTAGTTCTGAATTCTTTAACTTCTGCATATTTAATACCTGACTTTTCCGGAAGCAAACAATCTCTTCACCTGAAAGATAGGAGCAATTCTGATCTGACGCATATTGTGCATTCAAAGAACAACATTCTGGGCTATTCTGTGACTAGAATTTGCGAGGCAAATCAGAAGGAAGGGTGTACAGGGAATCTTTGTCATGAACTGCACAAAAGTAGGACAGACTACAAATGAAGGTCCAGAAACTGGTCCATCTCTTAGTTGTTTAAGTAGACTTACGTATTTAAGTGTGATCCTACTGCACGTTGCTTAAATCTATTAAAAAAATTAACATGTCTATTTTTGTTACTTTCTGTCATCTAAAACTTAAGTCACAAAAAGCAGCAAGTAGGTGGAGGACCCACCCAGCTTTTGCATTCACTGCTTTTCATGGATTTGAACAGAGTGGAATAGGATTACACTAACTGTGCCTAGTAAGCAGAACAAAATCTGGACACCATTAAGAGAGGGAAGAAAAGATGTTGACTAAAGATATGCAGGGGGAGCTGGTCTGGACTGTCATTCATAGCAGTTGTGATGCTGTATACTGTTATCTGTGCATGAGCCTGTAGTAATACAAGTGTAGTAAAACTGCTTCAACTTTACCCCTGCTTAATCTGGGGTCAAAGTTTGGGTGCTTTAACTTGTTTACGTTGCTCATGCACACGCACAACTGTAACAGCTGTTGCACAGTCGCATACTTTTGAAGCCATTACCAGCGTACCATTTGTCTTTAATATGCCCAGTGATGCTCCAAAACTCTAAAAGACAGCAGAAGGGATATTTACAGCTACATATGGCCTTGTGCAAGTCACTTCAGTTTTCTGTCTCAATTTGCCTGAAAAACAGGGACAATACAACCTGTCTTCCACATAAATAATGCATTATCTGAATGCCTAATATGCTAAGCAGTAAGAATTTGAATGTGCTTTAGGAAAAAGTGAATCTCTGAAAACAAATCCACATTAGAACCTTCCAAATATTTTTGTTTTAAAATGACTTATGATTGAATAGGAAATAATATTAATTTACTGTGCTAATGAACATCCTTAGTTGTAAATTTCTCATCCTTGATATCCCTTCCAACCTTGTAATTCCATTATCTGATGTCACATCACGGGATAACAAACACGTTCCTATATCTCACAACTTTCAGTTGTCATTGTTACCTGTGACAGTGTCAGTCTGCAACATAGTTTTGTCTGGTAAACTGGGCTTGTATATTTGGCACTGCAGATCATTCATTTCAAGGGGAGAACAAAGGGCAGCCTGTTTTCGTGTCCAGGTGTGGTTTATGGAGTGCCTAAGGAAAAGTGAAAAGCCATGCCATAGTTCAAATGTATAGTTTTGTTTGTTTATTTAAACTCATGCAAGATTATATATGCTTAATGCATTAGTCTCCAAACCTGAAAACATTGTTGTGTGTGCTTAAATCCACCTATGTACCCCAACCTTTTTCTGAGGTCTTGAAAACAGATTTTGGAACAATCCAATTATAAAGCCACATCAAATGTAATAATTTTACTAGGCATTTGTGGCAATTCATTCAAGAGGTTTATTTATATTGTGATACTTCAGGAGGCTCCATACATTTATACAGAGTGACACTACAGAGGAGACTTATATGTCAATATTTAAGTAATAACTACATTTGATACCTGTCTCTCGGTAAAATCTTTAAAAAAACAAGCAAAAAAGTTACCTAAATGCTGGTTTCTTTTTTCTGTCTATATTCTTCTCCTCTTCATCAGAGAAATGCAAGTGAAGGACTTCATCTTGTTCTTCTATATAACTCAGCATCATCTGGCTGCGAGTTCGAAATCCAGCCATTACTCGGGCTAGTGAATAGACAGGAGGACTGGAATGCACCTTCCAAGAGGCCCAAAAAATACAGTCAGGGCTAAAAATATTTACAGACATCTAGCAATAATTGGACTGACTTTTCAAATGGCCTCAAACATAAATCTGTTAAAACCTGCACTTGTGTGCAAAAACAAGAGAGCTTGTACAAGTTTTCATGATATCTTTTAACAGAACTCTTCTGAGATAATTTGAGAATGTGTTCCAAAGGCTTCAGGTGGTTCTCTTGCCAATTCAATACATGGCACTTTTCTTTCCAAATCAGAATGGAATAGACACATCATTTACTAATAACAATGTGATATATTTTATTAGACCAACTGAGTAGTTGGAAAAAAGTTATTTGCAAGCTTTTGGGTGCAATCACCCTTCTTAAGGCATAGGAAGTCTCTGCTGTTCACTTCCTATACCTGCAGAAGGGTGATTATGCCCCAAAACTTGCAAAGAACTTTTTTTCCAACTACTCAGTTGGTCTAATAAAAGATATCACATCTACCCAAAGAACCTTGCCTGCCTATCTTGGCCTGTCCTTAGACCAACACGGCTATAACCAAAAACCCACTAATAACAATGTGTATTTAGTAACCATCAGAATAGCTGCCTCCTTATGCTTGTTATAGAAGTACAATTGTATGGGACAGTCAGTGCAGTGTGTATTGCCACAAATTAAAAGTTAATTTGTGTCCTTACTGGGTAACTAAAAAAGAAACTAACAATACTAACATTAATATATGCCCATAACTCTTGTACCAAAATTATAACAATCAGAAAAAAAAAGAGAAACATATGTTTACTTAGCCCTTACCTTTTGACACTCAGTCCCTGAAGGAACATGAAAGGAATATAGTAAACTGTTAGTGAGTGGCACACTGTATGGTCTTGCAGGTGTCTCTAGAGCTGGTGCTGGAGTGTCACTGCAAGGACCCCTGGTAACAGACACTTCTGTCACTGTAAACTTCTCCAGCTTATCCTGTAGCTGATCAATAAGGACTTGCTGTTCTACCATTTTCTCATTCTCAAAACAAAAATAAAACACAAATCAACCTGCTGTTAGTCCTCAGTTCTCCATCATGTTTATATTACCCAAACTAAAGAGAATAACTTGGTTCTGGGTTGAATCTAAATTCTTCTGCAAGGCTTAGATTTCTAAAGTGCCGTAACAGTGAATTATGGCACTGTTAAAATACTGCAAAATCATTTTAACATGCATATAATTTAAATTAAACCAAATATGCTTTACATAAACAAGCTTCAAAACCATTTGTTAAGACATTTTTTAAACTTTCAGAAAGGGCCACAGCAGGTATGTTGTTATTTAAAGACTAGCCAATTGCCTGTCAAGAATGACAGGGGGTGAGGTAGGAGGAGGGGGGGGAAGTGGGATGGAGTGCCACTACCTAACGTCCCATGCTGCCACTGTTCTGCCTCTTGCAGGGACTGGGGTGGGGGAGCTGAGGCCAGCAGCTCTGTCTGGTCCTCGGCGCAGCTTCAGCATAATGGCGGCACTCCCCCCATACTTGGAACACTCTGACTGTTTCCATCAGCCAATCAGAGCGCAAATAAAGCATTATGGACAGACAGACAGACTTCTATAATATTAGAATATTGACACAAAGTAGAATGGATACTTATTAGTCTGTAGTTGCTTCATTCAGGCATTTTTGGCACATAGCAAAACATGCACAAGGCAACAATGGTTAAAATCTGAATCTCACTCTAACAACTTAAACATAAACTTATGTTTGCCAATGCAAGTAGTTTTATAGATTTCATAGACATTAAGGCTGGAAGGGACCTTGAAGATCATGAAGTCCAGCCCCCTGCCCCAGGGGCAGGAAGTCAGCTAGGGTCAAAGGATCCCAGCAAGATAAGGATCCAAATGTTTCTTAAATGAATCCAGAGTATGTGCCTGCACCACTTCTGGAGGAAGTCTTTTCCAGGCCTTGGGGCCTAGGACAGTAAAGAAGTTTTTCCTTATGTCCAGCCTAAAATGGTCATGGAGGAGTTTATGACCGTTGGTCCTTGTTATCACTTGGGGTGCTCTGGTGAACAGACAGTCTCCCAGATCCTGATGGCCTCTGATCACATACATGGCTCTCCGGACTCTCCCAAGCTTCTTGACATACTTCTTGAATTGTGGAGCTCAGAATTGGATGCAGTACTCCAGCTGCAGCCTCACCAAGGCCAAGTACAGTGGGAGGATGATATCCTGAGATTTATTTGAGAAACATCTATGGATGCAAGCCAGAGTTTTGTTTGCTTTACCAGCTGCAACATCACACTGGTGGCTCATGTTCATCTTGTGGTTAATCATGACCCCCAAGCCTCTTTCAGCCATGGTGCTAGCAAGTGTAGCACTGCCAAGCCTATAAGCATGCTGCGGGGGTGTCCCCCCCCGAGGTGGAGTACGTTGCATTTGCATTTTTCGGTATTGAACATCATCAGGTTTATATCCGTCTACTTACTAAGCTTATCCAAGTCAGCCTGGATCACTAGCCTATCCTCAGGTGTGGATGCTGTGCCACAAAGTTTAGTGTCATCAGCGAATTTGGCCAGTGTGCTTCTGACACCAATGTCCACATCGTTGATAAAGATGTTAAAGAGAACAGGTCCAAGGACAGAGCCTTGGGGGACACCACTGGTCATGAAGCACCATAAGGATTCTCTTCCATCGACTACTACTCTCTGGGTCCGACCTCGGAGCCAATTTCCCAGCCATCGGACTGAGGTGTAGTTGAGGCCACAGATGTCCAGTTTTTTCATGAGGAGATCATGGGACACCAGATAAAAGGCTTTTTTGAAGTCCAGATATATGATGTCAATCTCTTCTCCCTTGTCCAGGAGATATGTCACTCGGTCATACAAGGAGATGAGACTGGTCAGGCAAGACCTACCCGTGACAAACCCATGCTGGCTGTCCCTCAGGATGTTGCCATCAGCCAGCTTATCCAGAAGGGTCTCTTTGATAATTTTCTCCAAAATCTTACTGGGGATCAAGGTCAAGCTGACTGGCCTGTAATTCCCAGGATCTACCTTCTGCCCTTTCTTGAAGATGGGTACCACATTGGCCTTCTTCCAATCTTCGGGCACTTCGCCTAAGTGCCACAAGCTTTCGAATATTTTTGCCAATGGCTGGGCTATGACACCTGCCAGTTCCTTGAATACTCTAGGGTGTAATCTGTCAGGACTAGCTGACTTGAAGGTTTCCAGCCTCTCAAGGTGCTCCTTTACAAGGTCCACACCAATGCTGGGTATAAATATGCCCTCACCCTGGCCATCCCACGAAGTACACATCAAGCAGGTTGGCTTTTTCCTGGGCGTCGGTTATCAGTTGTCCCATTTGGTTCAGCAGAGGTCCAATGTTACCCTTGCTTTTTTTCCGACTCCCTACATATCTGAAAAAGGACTTTTTATTATCCTTGATATGTGAAGCCAGATGGAGTTTGGTTGCCGCCTTGGCTTTCCTGGTCCACTCCCTGCAGGTACAGACCAGTGCTGAGTACTCCTCCTTCATGGTGATTCCAGCCTTCCAGCCTTTATAAGTCTCTCTTTTTAGGCATAGGAGGTCCTCAAGTTCCCTGCTGAGCCAAGGGGGTTGCTGTGCCCTTTTGCTACCCTTCCTCCGAGATGGGATGGACAACCCTTGTGCTGTCAGGATCGCTCCCTTGAGGAGCAACCACTGCTCTTGGACTCCCCTTCCTGTTGAGCTGTGGTCCCTTAGGGTCTCGACAATGAGCCTCCTGAGCTTGTCAAAGTCAGCTTTCCTAAAGTCGAGGACTTCTGCATTGGTGACTGACTTGCCAGCTTTGCAATGGATAGTAAAGGTGATCCGCTCGTGGTCACTATCACCCAGTTTTATCAATTCTTAGGTCACTGACTAGATCATCCCCTTTGGCCAGTACCAGGTCCAGCAATGCTTTACCATCTAAATTATTTTCATTAGTGATTTTATTAAAGTTACACATTCATAAATAATTGAACCATCAGGCCCTCAATTTGTCTTGTGTATTATATCACTTTTCCCCAATTATCTCGCAGTTCTATTAGTGATACTAAACTGGAGAACTTATTTGCATGTCTTTTCCACATTAGCCTTTGCACATTGTTTAAATTTATCTGCTGCATAGCCTTTCTCTCCTAAACTGACCATAAGATGATTGTCCTGTCCTTTTTCAAACCCATCCTCAAGATCAGTTTCTTTCCACTACACCTACAAAAATTTGCCAGCTAAGAACAAAGAGGATGAAGAGCAGATACCTACAATGAACATATAGATATTTTGTTTCAAAATATACATTTTCATGTCCAACTTCATATGTTTGTTTTCATTGGCTGATAGTGCAGACAGTGGCTATGCAGAAACGTTCATTTTCAAATGGAGGAAATCAAAGTGTACAGATGCTCAGGCTTTTTCTCCAAAATCAAAAATTGCTGCTCTGGGAGAAAAATAACCCAGGAACAACCAGAATCAAATTGCTCCTGTAAAAGTTTCTCCCACAAGTCTTGTCTGCATATTTTGTCTTGGTTTAACACCTCTAAGAGACCAGAAGGAGCGGAGCTGGAAGAGAAGCTCAGGTGTTTTCCTGAGAGCGGGATCATGAAGGCATGGAGGGGGGTAGCTTCTCTCCCTGTCCCATAGACCAGGAGATCAGGGGAACTGCAGCCACTGCTCCCTGACTCTTTTCTGAAGTAGGCAGTCCACAGTTTCAGAAAGAGGCAAGGGGCTTTGCTGACATATACTGGCTTCCCCTTGCTACCCTGCCACTTAGCTGAGTGGCAGGGCTGCAATTTGAAAGCTAGTGGCTGAGGCTGACTTCCAGCCACCAGTTTTTAAGTTGCTGCCTAACCACTCAGTTGGGCAGCAGGGTGGCATGGGGAAGCTGGCTGGAGCCAGCAACTGAGTAATGGAGGCTTTCCCCAAGCCCTGCTCCTGGCCATCCAAGTGACTGATAACAGATTATAATAATGGAATATATTTGGCAAGTTTAACCAACACATGACATAAAACTTCATACATATCAGGGGTGTCAAACATGTGGCCCATGGAGTCATGTTATGCAGTCTGCAGGGCTTTAGGAGGGGCTAGGAATGTGGCAGTGGGGCAAGCAACAGTGGTAGCATTAAACTCTGTGACTCCACAAGCAAATGCAGGAGTCTGGGGAGAAGTGAGGGTTAATGAAGCTATCACTTAACCTCCTGATGAATTCCAGGGCACAGGGCCCTGCTGGGGACCAGCCATGGTACAAGGGACAGGAGTGTTAAACCGGGTGACTCCCTAAACCGACACAGTAGCTCAGGTACCCTTAACACTGCCACTGCTTGCCACATCACCAGAGCTGGGTCCAGATCAGCCGCTAAAAAGAGTTTTGGTTCAGATCTGGCCCAAGCGGCCAAATGAGTTTGACACCCCGATATATATGATTCATTTCCACATAGTATCATGTATATGTATTGCAAGTTACTTTTACAAATCTGATTCACTCTGAGGTGCATTCAAATTGCATGCCACCTGAATGTTGCTTAAAACTATCCGACTTAAATAACTGCTTTTTGGTGGGGAAAAATGGACTGAGCTCATGTTCGGTAGTCAGAAAGTGTCAAGTTATAAACCTGGCTCTGCTGCTGACATGATGTGTGACCTTTGGTGAGTCTTTTAAGCCCCACAGCTAAAACTTTTGCAGACAGATTTTTTACATTGGGGCAATTATTTTGATAACATTAAGGGAGAGAGGGTGCAAGTAAACTGGGCTTTTTAAATCCCAACCTAGTTAGTCAAGGTAAATCTGCACCTCTAGCTTGGGGCTGCCTTTATGTAGTAAGGGTAAAAAAAAAAAACCCACCCATGCCTTGCTAGAGACTACAGAAAATGAAGAATAGGAGGAAGAAAAGAAGAAAGTGATAGCTGGTTTACTTACCTTTTATGTTATACAATCACCCAGCAGTGATCTCTTCACAAGGCAATGGAGAAAAGGGGAGGAGAAGGGAGAACATAAGATTGGAGGAAAGAAAGAGAGAAAAGGAGATTGAAGAAAATAGCAGTAACTATCCCATATTTGGAATATTTACATCTGATTTTCTTTAATATTTTTAGAGAATCCTTGAATATTAGGAGGCAGCCAGGCAGCATTAGAAGAAACACCAAATATTTATGTACAATCTCATGAGCTTTTAGCTATCAGACACTAGACTCAACTCACCATACTGCTCCAGATGATGAAGTCAGTAATTATTCCTAAATATCTAGGATGAGATCCTGTTCTATTTAAGATGATGGAACTTTTGCAGTCTGCTTCAGAGATGAACTCTTGCCACTGAACTTTGAAAAAGTGTAACAGACTTATTCTATAGCACCTTTAATCTGAAATCTTTGTAACTATTGACAAATTAATGTCTACGACACTTTTATTATAATATTACTGTTACTGTTTTCATAGATGGAAAAGCAGCAGTGAGACTGAATGATTCACCCAAGGTCACAAATTCAGTCTATAGCACAGCTAGGCTGTAATCTAGGTCCCATGATTTTCAGTCCTGTTTTTCAGCTATTGCGCAGAGCTAAACCAAACTAATATTCTCTCAGTTGGTCATAACTATAGAACGCAGCCCTGACTCAGACAAGACTCCCACAGATGAGAAAATAGTTTTGTCTAAGTAAGGAATGCAGAATATAGCCCTAAATCAACAATTAAAATGATTACATTCAAATGTGCACCTGAACTGAACCAAAGTTAAGTAAAATATATAAGATGAAAACTTACCTGTAGTCTATTTGTTTCTTGGGCCTCTTTTAGATATTCTAGGCATTCTTGGTGTTCCTGTAATAATGCCTGTATTTGATCCTGTAACACTTTTAGCTCTTGCTTCTTCTGACTAAACATTTCTTCATCTGTAGCTAGAGCCAGCTAGATAACAACAGAAAAGTGGGAGTGGTGATGAAAGGAATGGCATTAGGAAGGATCTTGTCATTATCCTGTAATAAGGTGTTAAAAGTGGGCAAGTGACATTTTCCAATGCAAACAACTTGCAGGCCCTCCAAAATTGGTGTGGTGATTCTATGAGGGCTCACCCACACAGTTTCTCTAAACACTCCTTCAGTTTTGTAAAGACATCTATTAACGTTCTCACAAGTTCCTTTCTCCATAAGAAAAAAATGCCACTAACCAGAGCTACTGTACCAAACAATATATAAATACAGTATTTATTTCAGCATACAGAGAGTCAGTCAAGTTCTACATGCTTTAAATGCCAGGATAATATATATATATTTATCACAAAATAATGAAGACTGCTTTACTTGTTCTGCACTACAGGTGATAACCACACAACAGACTGAAAAGACCTGAACATTTCTGTGGTGGTCTTTACATATGTTGCCCTATGTTAAGAGGCTGCATAGCCTGCTTGAGCTCTGTAGCCATGGGATTCCAAGCAGGTCCAGAAGGTTACAGGGTTTGTCAGGGAGACTCTGACACCCACGGGCCTACCCAAACTTATTCCCTTCCCAGCACTGATTCAGAGTCTCTTTACCATGATTACCACATATTTCAGTCTAGCATTGAGGAATAGGTCTATAAAAGCCTAGATAGATAGGTGTGGGGGTTGTGGGGTGAGGGAGCATGTGGGGGGATGTGTGTGCGGATGTGGGGTGTTGGGGAGGGTTGCTGCAGTGTGTGAGAGGGTGTGGGTGTAATGGTTTGCATGTATGGCAGTGCAAGGAGGGGTGTGGATACATGTGTATAGTGGGGTGTGCATGTGGGACCTGCCCTATGAACACACACACTGTATCCCTCCCTCGCAGT